TGAGTTTGAGGAAGTGGAGTGACATCCATAATATCTGTGAATGCCGCCGTTTCCTCTCAACTTTTGACTGATTTTATTTTATTTTGACCAAAGCGCAGTTTTCTTGTTATTTTTGTGTTCTTTTTTTATGCTATGCTGTGAGTGAAAACATCATACTTTACAAATCACAAATGGTGGTTGACCGTGCTGGTTTACTTGATTAAAAAAATGTTTCTGAATACTCCTTCTAGCCAACAGGTGGGGTCTACTTATACATTTTTTTCATTCGTGATTCACACACATTTCACCCAATATTCACAAATAAATCCAATTAGAAAAATATGTGAATCCTGGTTGAAAGTTGAGGAAATCTTGTGTAAAACAATTTATCAGTAGACCCTTAGTAGCTACATGTCTGACGTATTAAAAATGTACTAATTGAAAAATATATTGTTGCCTGCAGCAACCAATAAGTCTTTCACTTGTCGTCTTTGCAGTCCATATCAGACGATGAATAAAAGATTTTAATTTTAGTTCTGGATAACAAGAATTTTCTTCTTTTAGTGCGCTTTTCATACAAAAGATCCACAGAGCTTTGAAAATGGAGGAGCTGCATCTCAGCTAAACCAAATGTTTGCTCAAATATTAAGACTGATGGGAAACTACGGTGTGAGCTACAGGTTAAGGCTGATTTGTAGCTTTTGTTCATCAAAAAAAGTATTTAGCTAAATTCATCAAACTGCAAAGAGCAATCTTGATAGAGACATAATCTACAATTACAGGAGTCCGGGAGCTGTCGGCATCTACTACAAAGAAGTGTTAACCTAAATGCCAAGCAAATGTAAATGCTTATAAGACCATCCACTCATATTCTCATTATTTTTGTTGTCTACAAGGCATCTTTGCCTCCGAATGATGTAATCGTCAGATCCTTTGGGATTCAGAGACAGCAAACACATTCTTGCAATGTAATGATAAGCTGTTCACAAGGTAAATGGGAATATGGAGATCTCTCTCTCTCTCTTTCTGTCTTTGAAGGAGACAATCACGCGGCAGAAAGTTACAGAAATACAAGGAAAAGCATAAGACAGCAAAGAAAGGTCCTTCAATAAGACATAAATCTCGTATCATTACTGTGATCCTCAAAACAGGGAAAAAATGTCCTCTCCCCACTCCTTGTTATGCAGAAAATCATATACAAATATTTAGAATCTTTAGCTTTTGTAGACAAACGATATAGAACATTTTTTGAGAAAAAAATAACAGAAGAAAAACTGTTTGCACTTTGTACTTTTTGCATCAGAGCAGGGCGTCTCCAAACTTTCTAAACAAAGGGCCAGTTTTCTTTACTGTAAATTTTAGGGGGGGCCGGACTGTGCCCACCGGGAGTGGAAATTGTTCTGACAGAGGTGGGCATAAACATCACCACATTTGGTATTTGTGGAAGGAATAGTGCCCCATCATTGGAATCATTAGAAGGAATAGTTCCCCATTGTTGGGATCATTGGAAGGAATAGTGCCCTATTGTTGGAATCATTAGAAGGAATAGTGCCCCATCATTGGAATCATTAGAAGGAATAGTGCCCTCATCGTTGGGATCATAGGAAGGAATAGTGCCCCATCGTTGAGATCATTGGAAGGAATAGTGCCCCATCGTTGGGATCATTGGAAGGAATAGTGCCCCATCGTTGGGATCATTGGAAGGAATAGTGCCCCATCGTTGGGATCATTGGAAGGAATAGTGCCCCATCGTTGGGATCATTGAAAGGAATAGTGCCCCATCGTTGGGATCATTGAAAGGAATAGTGCCCCATCGTTGGGATCATTGAAAGGAATAGTGCCCCATCGTTGGGATCATTGAAAGGAATAGTGCCCCATCGTTGGGATCATTGAAAGGAATAGTGCCCCATCGTTGGGATCATTGAAAGGAATAGTGCCCCATCGTTGGGATCATTGGAAGGAATAGTGCCCCATCGTTGGGATCATTGGAAGGAATAGTACCCCCATCGTTGGAATCATTGGAAGGAATAGTACCCCCATCGTTGGAATCATTGGAAGGAATAGTACCCCCATCGTTGGGATCATTGGAAGGAATAGTACCCCCATCGTTGGGATCATTGGAAGGAATAGTACCCCCATCGTTGGGATCATTGGAAGGAATAGTGCCCCATCGTTGGGATCATTGGAAGGAATAGTGCCCCATCGTTGGGATCATTGGAAGGAATAGTGCCGCATCGTTGGAATCATTGGAAGGAATAGTGCCCCATCGTTGGGATCATTGGAAGGAATAGTGCCCCATCGTTGGGATCATTGGAAGGAATAGTGACCCATCGTTGGAATCATTGGAAGGAATAGTACCCCCATCGTTGGAATCATTGGAAGGAATAGTGCCCCATCGTTGGGATCATTGGAAGGAATAGTGCCCCATTGATGGGATCACTGGAAGGAATAGTGCCCCATTGCTATTGTCAGTAGGCGTAATGGTGCCCCATTGTTGTTGTCAGTTGGGAGAATAGTGTCTTGTATCAGTGGGAGGAATAGTGCCCCAGTGGCCGAATAAAGGCAAGCAAAAGGCCGAATATGCCCCACAGGCCACAGTTTGGAAAGCACTGCTCTAGAGCAAGGTCTCCAAACTTTCTAAACAAAGGGCCAGTTTACTGTCTTTCAGACTGTGGTGGTGGGGGTGGTAGTGGTGAGGGGTGGACTGTAGCCAGTGTGAGTAGAAAATGCCCAGGCTTCAATGGGAATAAACATTGCCTCATCTTTGCTATTAGCACCCCGCTATTGGTAGCAGGGGAAAGAATAATCATTGCCCAATCATTGGAGCCAGTGGCAGCAATTATGCCCCCAAGGTGTCAGTGGCAGGAATAGTGCCCAAGTGCTGGATAAAGGCAAGTAAAGCATAGAACCTGACCAGGAGAACACCAATTTACAAAAGGTTTGTCATGTATGGGTTAAAGTAGACCTATAGCCCCAATTTCAGTTTCAATAATTTTTACTATAAAGAATTTTCACACAAAATACTCACAGGTCCAAACATATGGAAGTTCACATCATAGCATAGTATACATAGGCAAAATCCACGTGCAAGTGCATTGAGGTATCACACGTGGTGTGAGTGTGAAAGTGCCCTAGGGCGATGGTAAGTAGAGCAAATAAGGGGTCACACTGCATCCCAAACACACCAGAGGTCTGTTAACAGCTAACTTGGTGCACCACTGAAGAAGCACTGGGTGGACCCCAAATCAAGGGACCACACTGTTGTCTCATTTCTGGGTAAATAGGATGTGTACTGCAGAGAAAGGAGAGAAAGGAAAAGAGACAGAAGAACTTGGAAAAAAAGGTGAAGAGGAAGAGAAACTATGGGAAGTTGGGGTGGGAAGGGCGGCAGGAGGTAAGGAAGGATGGGCATTGGGAGGGGAATTTGGAGTTGGGATGTCTGACCTCCTTTTTAGAGGTAAATATATGTTTATTCATTTTTCAAGAGAGAAAAAAAAGTATAAACAATAATAATAATGGGGCAACACAGTGACTAAATGGTTAGCACTTCCGCCTGGCACTACTAGGGTCGTCGGTTCGAATCCCAACCACGGCACCACCTTCCTGGAGTTTGCATGTTCTCCCTGTGCCTGCGTGGGTTTCCTCCAGGTACTCCGGTTTCCTCCCACACTCCAAAGACATGCTGGTAGGTTAATTGGCTCCTATCTAAATTGGCCCTAGTATGTGTATGAATGAATGTGAGTTAGGGACCTTAGATTGTACACCCCTTGAGGGTTAGGGACTGATGTGAATGTACAATATATATGTAAAGCGCTGCGTAAATTGATGGCGATATATAAGTACTTGAAATAAATAAATAAACCATAAAGAGACAATACTGAGTTAGGCAGGTAGCACAAATGTACAGGTCCATGCATCCATATCCAATGAATAGTACTTTAATAAGGAAAATAGAGGATGGCACAAAACTAGAAAACGTGACATAGGCATACATCACAAAAAGTGGTGCCGATCCTATACAGACAAAAAGATGATATGGCACAACAAATTATGTTGGATATACATATAGTTGCCTCAGTGGTTACGAAGAAACGAAAAATGACCAGAAAAAAGAGAAAATGCGTGCAGACCAAAAAGCCCCAAGAGCATACAGAGAGAAAAAGATACGAGGCAAGGAGAGAATGGGGAAGAAATGGAGGAAAAGAGAAAAAGAAAGACGAAAAATGAGAAGAGGGGGGGAAGGAAGGAGAGACCAAAGGTACCAGCCAGAGGTTTGGTAATCTAAATAGACAATTGCATAGAAAACTAACAATTCACATGGTACAGGAAAAAGAACAAGAAAAAAAAACAGATATGGATAAAAGAAGGCGGTCACACTGAAATCAACCAGTGAAACCGCATGAAAGGCCTTCATGCAACTGCAGGGGTCAACATCATGGAGGAGAGATAGAGGACACAGGAGCAGGAACCATCTATTTCACAGCATCCGAAGAGCAAAAATGTATCCAGATATATCACAGAGTTTTACATTTGTCAAAAGAGTCGGATTCCTGGGTCAACCTGACCTTCTTTTTAAAGTAGATGGGAAGTCCATTATCTCCAGTGAACCAAACAGTGCATATAAGTTTGCTTTATCACCCTGAGTTGTTTTCTTTAAAATCCCATAAAAGTACCTTTTTTTTAAAATGTTTTTTAATTGTGGTCACCTGACCACTAATCCTTGGTCTGTGCTCTGCCCGGATCAGTGGCTGCCACAGCTCTCCCCTGAGAATTGACGTCAGGACAGGAAGTGACATCACCGCATGCACTGCAAGGCTCTGACACTGCTCCCAAAGGCAAACTCTAGGGAGGGAGTATGAGGAGGAGCTGCAAGTGACTGTCGGACTAAGTGTTGGAACGGAGTTACCAATGCATTCACACTGGAGGAATGATCCGAAGTGGACCACAGCCCTGGACCTATAAAACGCCTTGTGGCTAACTACATGCATTGCACTTAGTACGGATATCAGCACCCAAGCAGAATCCACTGTCAAAAGCAACATTACAGGTTGTACCTGTACTAAACCTGGACCCTGCATTCACTATATCCGGTCTCCCCAGACCCTGCATTCACTATATCTGCTCTCCCCGGACCCTGCATTCACTATATCTGCTCTCTCCCGGACCCTGCATTCACTATATCTGCTCTCCCCAGACCCTGCATTCACTATATCTGGTCTTCCAAGACTCTGCATTCACCATATCCGCTCTTCCCGGACCCTGCATTCCCTATATCCGGTCTCCCCGGACCCCGCATTCACTATATCTGTTCTCCCCGGACTGCACATTCACTATATCTGGTCTCTTCGGACCCCGCATTCACTATATCTGGTCTCCCCGGACCCCGCATTCATTATATCTGCTCTCCCCGGACCCTGCATTCACTATATCTGCTCTCCCCGGACCCTGCATTCACTATATCTGCTCTCCCCGGACCCTGCATTCACTATATCTGCTCTCCCCGGACCCTGCATTCACTATATCTGCTCTCCCCGGACCCTGCATTCACTATATCTGCTCTCCCTGAACTCTGCATTCTCTATATCTGGTCTCCCACAGTACACACAACATGGAAATGCAATTATTTTAGTAAATATAAATTGCTAAATACCTTTTCTCATCAGCAGTTAGAGCAGTCTTGTGACTTCAATAGCAACATTACAGGTTGTTCCTCAAGCGTGAGGTTTGGGTACAGTTCCTAAGGTAGTACCGAGATTGCACCCATCTGGATGCACTGCTTCCATTGTTATGGTAGAGGAAGTCATGTGTCGATTGAAGAATTTAAAGTAAATAAGGACTAGTTAAGCATAGTAACTTCTCCATAAGGGAGAAGAGGCCCATCATCTACAGGACACTAGCAAAAAACTGAGGTCTCATGGAGTGTCACGGGATATAAGGGTACACCCAAGAAGGACATATCCAAAAGCTTTGAAGGTAGTAGCCTATGACAACTGAGGTTGCACCCTTCTGGATGCACTGCTTTCTTTGGTATAGTAGAGGCAGTGATTAATTGTTTGAAGAATTCAAAATAAATAAGAATTAGCTAAGCATAGAAACGTCTCCTTAAGGGAGAAGAGGCTCATCATCTACAGGACACTAGCAAAAGACTAAGATCTCACGGAGAGCCATGGGGATATAAAGGGTACACTGAAGAAGGACAAATCCAAAAGCTTTGAAGGAAGTACCGTATAACCCAGGGTCTATGGATATCAAGCCTGTGTCCTCTACTGTATGATTAAGATGATATTTGGGGCAGTATCAGGATGAAAAGGTAAAATCATAATGTAATCTAAGGATGTAAAATTAGAACATATCGTCAATGAGGGTATGTAAGGGAAACCTAACCAAGGATACTGTCAATTTTTTACACTTTAAATGTTAACTAAAAGCTACACTAACAGTCTTGCTGGAAAGGAGAAATAAAAAGTAAGGCTACTCAGAGACTTTTTATAGTGTGGTTGGAGGAGCAGACCTGAGCCAACTACATTTAGGAAAGCTCCTGCACCAGACGTGTAAGGTCCTCTGCCGACCAAACAAGTATATGCCAATGGAGAGGAAGGGATTAGGCAGGGGAGGGATGTGGTTGTAGGAGCAGACCTGAGCCAACTAGATTTAGGAAAGATCCTGCATCAGACGTGTAAGGTCCTCTGCCGACCGAACAAGTATATGCCAATAGAGAGGAAGGGTTTAGGCAGGGGAGGGATGTGGTTGGAGGAGCAGACCTGAGCCAACTACATTTAGAAAAGCTCCTGCACCAGACGTATAAGGTCCTCTGCTGACCGAACAAGTATATGCCAATAGAGAGGAAGGGATTAGGCAGGGGAGGGATGTGGTTGTAGGAGCAGACCTGAGCCAACTACATTTAGAAAAGCTCCTGCACCAGACGTGTAAGGTCTTCTGCCGACCGAACAAGTATATGCCAATGGAGAGGAAATGATTAGGCAGGGGAGGGATGTGGTTGGAGGAGCAGACCTGAGCCAACTACATTTAGGAAAGCTCCTGCACCAGACGGTAAGGTCCTCTGCTGACCGAACAAGTATAGCCAATGGAGAGGAAAGGATTAGGCAGGGGAGGGATGTGGTTGGAGGAGTAGACCTGAGCCAACTACATTTAGAAAAGCTCCTGCACCAGACGTGTAAGGTCCTCTGCTGACCGAACAAGTATATGCCAATGGAGAGTAAGGGTTTAGGCAGGGGAGGGATGTAGGTAGATGCTACCGGCACAACCTACTTCAGTAATAAACTGAACTACTAATTCTCTTGTCTATCTTCATTCAGGGGTATCTTAACTGCGAAAACATAAAAAAACCTAACAAGCCTAAGGGATCTGTGTCATGAGACAACCTATAAAATACTTTTAACAAATATTCCTGGAGCAGAGTGAAATTCCCCCCCGGCGTGGCTGGGGAGTAATTTATCCTGTTCAAGGTCTAGAAAAGCACAGACATAAATGAAATGTCCAACATCTTCAAATTTGCATTGTAAAACCATCCTTCAGCTTCCTTGAAATAAATTTTACTATTTTATTAGTGCAAACAACATGGTAATAAAACTCCAATACAGATCTTTGTAGCAGAGGGATGAGCGAAAATTAACAAAGACCAAACAGAACTGGCTATTACATTCAATTACCTTTTTGCTTAAGATTTACATTCTCATCCCATAATCTCCATACATTTTTCAGCCATTTGCTTCATTCACTGGAGACCCAAAGCACACTTACTAAAACCCTCCACTGAACATAAAACTTACTCCAGTTGTGAAGCTAAGGCATGCTCTGGGAAGCTGAATTATCCTGCAGGAATATTAGGCAAGTGTCCAAAGCCACACTAACAGGAACCTGAGTGAGACAGAAGCATGGACTTTGTCATTGATGGCTTGTTTATTGTGATTCAGGCTCGGGGGCTGCCATCTCTAGCCTCTGAAACTAGTGAGGACCTGGAACAAGCATGGGTAGATCAAGGGTAAGATTGCTGACACACACACGTTCAGGGTCAGTGATTAGGTCTGGAAGCAAGAATAAGATGAGAGCCCTGGACCATGGATAAAAAAAGAGTCAGCAATTGCAACTCCTGTATTTCTATATCAATTATTAGTATTCCCTGTAGACATCCAGCTTATGTATAGACTATACCCAATGATGGATGAACATGTAACTTCCAGCTCATAATAATGTGTATCAATGGCTGAAATTCCAATAAGGCGGACACCAGTATGCTTCAGACAAAGACACTTTAAAAATACCACCACTGTCAGTGCTGTAGATAATTATCATTTCTAGAAGGGGGTTCACCATGGGACCAGGAGGAGGAGGAGGAGGACAACTAGGTGGTATGTGCACTGGCAAATTATGGGTGTGGCAAAAGTACACAAACAGTGGGAGAGGTTTAAAATGTGATCCTACTCACTGTGTACAAAGTAACATATGGCACAGTCCTTGCACCCAAAAAAAGAACCTAAAAATTAGTGTGCCACAAGTAAAAATCTAACAGGGGTCTGAGCACAGGGTGCAGGTGTCAAGAGTATGTAAAGCAGAGATCAACAGCCAGAGCACCACAAAAAATGCTGCAGTGCACTGGATGCCTTGAGGGATTTGGACCCCCCATCTCCCCCCTTATCTACGCCTCTAATCACAGTACAGTGATTAAAGACTATACAAAATGTGTTAAAAAATCATTTAATTTTCCAGATTATGGAAAATAATCAATAAGTTGTTCCAAAGTAGTCCATCTGGTATTTTATGTATTCTGCACATTTAAAGCCCAATTGAACCTTCATTTTAAAACAGCTAAAGACATCCCAGGTGCATCAAAACAAAATAACCTCAATGTGAACCTGAATGAAAAATGTTTGATTGCTGCTCAAGTCCCTGTATCCAAATCCAGACTATGGGTGCTGGCTCAAGGTAAGAGCTCATTCCGGCTCTACATGTACAAACTGGATAAAAGAAATCCTGATTGCCGCACTCCAAAGAAACCCTATAGTCATGCAAGAAAAAGAAGCCGCAGCCTCAGTCTAGCTCCTTTCCAACCACGCCCCTGACATGTTTCGCCCTACCCCAGGGCTTAGTCTTCATGACTAAGCCCTGGTGTGGGGCGAAATGTATCTGAAGCATGGTCTGGATGGAGCTAGGCTGGGATGCATTTACTTGCATGACTATTGGGTCTCTCTGGAGTGTGGAGAAAAGGAGCTCAGTGTCTTAGTTTGTTTTCTTTCTAAAGCATCCATTCCAAGAAGGTCCCCTTCTGCACAGAAGGATCCTTGCTCCCCGTGGGGAACCAGTGGTCTCTATGCAGAGTTCTGACACACCACCTAATGAATCAGAAAAGACAACTGTAGGAAAATATATTGCTTTTAGTCATCACAAGATAAAACACCGATTAAACACTTGTTTTTAAAGAATAAACAAGAATACAAAGATTCAGAGGGAAGCTCAAAAGGCGCCTGTAGCAGTCGTGCACTCGTTAAGAATCTTCCATTTTGTACAATCTCTCACTCCCAAAGCAGGCTTCCTCCTCCAATCATCCCCCTCCCTCGCTGTTGAGTGACATGTGGTCGGTGTGTGTTTGCGGAGATCACAGGCAACAAACTCAGTGGGAGGGCGTCCTGGCTATAAAACCTCACTAGCTAGGTGCCCCCTGTCTAAGAATCTCTTGCTTGGAAAGGGATCATAAAAGCGTAAACCAAGCCCTTCACTGAGTTCAAAGACATTCCAGAGAAGTCATAAACTAGACACCACATTCAACATCCATGTTCCCCTATGATTTTATATCTTGGAATATGAGAGACTTACATAAAAACCAGGCATATAATCAGATTGATCACTTTGATACAAGTTTCCTGATATTTTACACCCCCTAGCTGGCATATATAGGAGAGCAGGAAATTATATCTCCTGAACCATTCAAGTGGATATGACATGTTTCATCTCTAACTATTCCGCAGCTGCGGCTGAGTATTAATCGACTAGTGGCCAGGCTGCTAAATGCCCCGAGAATAAGTTATGAATCATAATAGAAGCTACGAGAGTTTCTGGTCATAACTTAGGGCTTCACCTACACCTCCCTCCCCAATGGAGATGATTGGTTTACTGCTCCAGGGAGACACCCTGTGGATTTACTAGAAAAGCTAAGCTAGGCTGAGTTGAGCGGGGTGTGAAAGTAGAAGATTCTCCTGTTTTAACATCGAAACTGACAGTGGGAGACAAGAAATCCTTTTGGGCTCATGAAACTTGAAGCTGCTTAAACCAAGGCTGACTGGCAAGTACTTTAACCCTCTAACTTCTTTCTGTTATCTCTTTGCTGTGCTATTGTTCTCTGTATATTTTTTATATATATATATATATATATATATATATTGGCTACATCTTTTTCTGTAAATATTTTTATTGCACCCTTTTGACCTTTCAATAATAAATCTTACTTTCTGAAAGTGTTGAACTGTTTCTTATGCTCTTTAATGCAAACTACGAATTCCTGCTGCTGAAGAGCTCTACTGTGTGGGTTTAACCCTCTGTATAACCTGCCTGA